CTGGCAGGGTCAGAATTGGTGCCTCACACAACCGCTGTCTCACAGTATCGAAAGTTGCCTGCTGCTTAACCCCCCAGCAAAATGTAACTGTCTTCTTGGTCAGTCGGGTCAAAGGAATAACTATCTTGGAGAAATCCTTGATGAGTCTCTTATAATAACCATCCAACCCAAGAAAAATCCTAATCTCAGATGGATACCTTGGAACCTCCCACTGCATCACAACCTCGACCATGGTCGAATTGACCAAAATACCGCTCTGGTTGACAAGGTGCCCTAGAAACAGTACCTCGAACATCCAAAACTCACACTAAGAGAACTTTGCGAAAAAGTCTATCCCTTCTAATGTGTCCAGCACTTCCCTCATGTGCTCGTCATGTTGCTCCTGAGTTTTGGAATAAACCAAGATGTCATCGATAAATACAATCACATACCGATCCAACATCGGTCTACACACGCGGTTCATGAGATCCATGAAGGCGGCTGGAGCATTAGTGAGCCCAAAAGGCATCACCACAAACTCATAATGACTATATCGAGTCTGAAAAGTTGTCTTCTGCACATCCTTATCCCCGACCCGCATTGATGATAGCCCGATCGCAAATCAATCTTGGAGAACCAATATGTACCTTGAAGCTAGTCAAAAAGATCATCAATCCTTGGGAGTGGATAACAATTCTTCATTGCCACCTTATTCAACTCCCGGTAGTCGATACATATATGATAAAACCCATACTTCTTCACAAACAGAATCGGTGATCCCCAAGGCGAACTGTCCGGTCGAATAAATCCCTTGTCTAACAACACTTGCAGCTGTGTAGACAACTCATGCATCTCGGGATAAGCCAACCAATATGGTGCTTTGGCTATCAGAGCCGCACCAGGAATCAGATCAATCCTAAACTCAACCTTCCTTTTTGGAGGCACCCCAGGCAAATCCTCCTGAAACACATCCGAGCAATTCCGCACAATCGACACATCATCTACTGTCGCTTTACCCTTATCCCGGATATCCATGACATATGTGACAAAACCCGAGCAACCTTGTTGAAGGTAGCGGCTAGCCCTCGTTGCAGAACACAAAATCGACCCACACTGCGGTCTCTCCCTATGAATCACCAACTCTCCCCCACTTGGGGTCCGAACCCGAACAAACTGCTTCTCACAATAGGTCACTGCCCTATTAGGGCTAAATTAATCATTGCCCACGATAACCTTGTTCCCACGCAAAGGAATGGGAACCAAATCAATCGAATACTGATCGCTGAATAATCGGAGAGTATAACCTCGATGAACCCTCGCAACCCGAACAGACCTATCATCAACAATCTCGACATCTAGAGGACAATCCAGCTCCCCTCGAGCTCTAGCAAATCTCTTGCTCATCGTAAGCGGTATAAACGAACGTATAGCCCCTGAATCAAACAATACCTGTGATGAAGAAGATGCGGAATTAAGTACTAATGAAGATTAGATACGTAGTGAAGGAAATGATAGACCAATATCAAAGTCTCCTTAATCGAACTAGAGATGTGATATGTATATGCCTTTTAATTTAAATTGGAATTTAATTAGGAAATGACAAATTGGTAAACTAATATATAATTTTGAATATTAGATATAATATTTAATAAAAATTGATATAATTCTAATTGAAATATGATTTTGGATATGTATATAATATTTATAGTTTTTGATGGATATATGTGTAATTTTAAAGTTTTTAAGAATATTGAAGTAATAGTAAAAGTTTTCATGGATATATTAAATTTTCCCTTTGATAATTAGGTTTATATACATAAAATAATAAAATATAATATAGATGAAAACATAACTCCAATATATTTTAACTTTAGATCACACTATTTTAATCGATTAATAACATTTTTGCGCCACTTACATGCCTATTTAATGTTAAAATGTTATATTAATCGAATATTTGACTTTCAACCTTTTTGTATGTGCTATTTTTGTTACAATATTTATTAACTTTGTTGTAACTTGTATTTAGTTTTATGTTTATGTAACTTCTACGATATATTTATTTTAACATTTAACAAGATATATTTGTTGACAATTATAAACTAATAAAAAAAAATAACTCGTATCTTATATGTTTACAAAGATATTGCTAAATCAATTATGAAATCATGATTTTAAATGTAATAAAATACGTGTTTCATTACATACCAACAAAATTATTAGTACAAAACCAAAAATTAGACCATAAAAAATATCACAAAATCGAGCCCTTGAAATGTACCATTTATGTGAAGTAAAAAAACACATTTTTCATAAGTTCGATTTTATCTTTTATAAAACCAAGAAGAAAACGTAAAAAAAAAACTATAAAATGGCATCGTTCGTTTTATTGATTTTTTGTTTACAATATGTTAATTTTTCTATTTATACTTTAAACTCGTAGTTAGTAAAAAAATATGAAAAATAACGAACTATAACTATCTTTATACCATCTTCATTTTTTCACTTAAAATGGACTAAAATATAAAGTAAATAACGTTTCATCTCAAACGGTACTCCAATTTCACTTTTCTCTTAAAAATAGAATAAAATAAGATGTAAATAATATTTGATCCATAGTTGTCAAAATCGCGATCCTGATCGTAGGATCGTACGATCCTAGGTATGAAAAACGATCCGGATCGTAAAAGGATCGTATTTGGGGTAGGATCGCAGGTAAGATCGTAGGATCGAGATCCGATCCGATCCTACCTTCCTTTGATTTTTTTTTATTTTTATTATTATTATAATTTTTTTTGCAAATGAATTTTTTTTACCACTTTATGCATTTTATCCTTTACCAATCTACAATTTATCATTTTTTATTGTGACTTATGACTAATATTTTGAAGTTTTTATAACTTTTGAATGAAAAACTAAATGTTTGAAATAGTTTTCATGATTAAATATTATAAATTAAAATTATATTATATTTTGTGGGATCTTAAGATCTCGATCCCGATCTTGCAAACCCAAAATCGATCCTAGGTAGGATCTCGATCTTGACAACCTTGATTTGATCCCAAACCATACTCTAGTTTTTACTCAATTTTTAGGCTATGTTTGACGTATTAGCTGAAAAGTTAGCTGTTAGCTGAAAAGTTAGCTGTTAGCTGAAAAGCTAGCTGATAGTTGAAAAATTGGTTGTTAAATAAAAAACTAGTTGATAGCTGAAAAACTAGCTAATAAAAAAATAACGTTTGGTAAAACTAGCTGAAATATATAAAATTACATAAAAGAACATGAATGAGTATGTGTTTTTATAATTAATTAAGGGGTGTATTTGGAATATTTTAAAAAAACTCATAAAAAGCTAATCTAAGTAGTTTTTCAAAAAGCTAGCTTATAAGTTATTTTTTGGTTTACCAAACACGACAATATAAAAAAGTTCGAAAAATAAACTAGCTTATCAGCTAGTTGTGGCACGCCAAACACAACCTTAACCCCCAAAAGTATATTCATAATATATTCATTTTTGTAACTTATATACATTATCAAACATACTTTGCTACTAATTAGATTTTAACAAATATATATTTTATATTTTTTTCATTACAATAATATAGGTTATCACATTTATAAGATATATTTCAATTATAATCTTTTATAATTGTGTTTCAAATTTTTGTTAGGGTTTTATGCGATCTCTACACACTAGTTTTATGCAACGGAATCAAACAAATAACCTTATATGTACATGTATCTTAAGGATATAGTTTTTTTTTTTTTTTTTTTTTTTTTTAAATAACAATCCACTTTCAATAATAGTAACCTTTATGTTCTTGATTTCTCAATTGAGATCCTGTGACATCCACACTTGCAAAACATGGCAAGGAACCAAACCATGAATCGTCTAATGGAATCACACCTAAACCACCAACTAGCAAGAAGGGTTATTTAGGAGAGAGGTTCACCAACTAGCAAAAAGGGTTATTTAGGAGAGAGGTTCGAAAATCTCAATAACCCAATGTTGTAACATTGACAGTCTATTTATAGTCTCCAGTTTAATTCACATTTTCAAGGATAAGCCTTATCCTTATTTGAATTAATCTATATCCTTTTATCTACAGATCGAATCGGTTCATTCGTTATTCTGAGAGTTTATGGAATATTCCAATTAATTACTAAACAAATGAATTAATATTCAACCTAGTTAATTAATTCAAAAATAATTTCCAATTAATTTAACAATTCATAATAAATTAACAAATTGTTTTCTTCTAATTCCTTTTGCCTAATTGAGTTATGAGGGAAACCTAAAACACCCTATTACTATTAGAAATATTACCAAGTAGTTAATGACATTGAACACTCAATCCAATAGATTTTTATATGCATTTGACTTTTATATTAATTTGATATATAAATATCAAACTTGATTAATTAATGTAATTTAATATATATTAGGATATTACAAATATTAACATATTACATTTTAAAATAGAACTATTAGATAAAAACAAACTAGAAATATATAAAATAAAAAAACCAGTAAAATTGTCAACTTAAACTTCAATCCTATTTTTTGAAAATAAATAGTGTTATTCCATATTTGAAATAATATTATCAATTTCCTATAAATGGGGAGAAAATAGGGTAAAGCCGAAGATTAATTGATAAAAAATGATATTTAAGAGTTGGTTGCTAAAACAACAAATGAATATGAAAAAGCAAGAAACTAAGAGCTACAAACTAATATGAAAAAGTAACGAACTAAGAACAACACATGATAATACCCAATAATTAAAAAAATGGAATAAAATAAGGGTAAGTGTGTGTTTACTAGTCGGATGATTGTGAGAGGAGATATTCAATATCCTCCTACTAAATATTTTTATTTCCATTGTGAAAACAATTTGTATATATATATATATATATATATATATATATATATTATATATATATATATATATATATATACTCTCAACAGTTAGATGCAAAAATAAACTTGGACAACTGTTTATAAACAAAATAATAGTCAGATGATTGTGAACATCTACGATAACTACCTACGATATGACACGTGTTATCTAACAGCTTATAAAGTGTAACGAACCGCAAATTTAAAGGTGAGTGTGTTTCACTACTCAGATGATGCTGAGCATTTACAACACGTACCATCCAAATTTATTTACCAAAATTAAACATCAACGACTATTTATAGACACAATAATAACGTCATACCGACGACAACTGTTGGTGATAAAACACTTGTTCTTTGACAGGTCATAAAGCATAAAGAGCACAATTCTATATATGATATGAACCATACCAAAACTGAAACACCAGCTAGGGACCAAACCACTTACTGTGTCAGTGCTAATTTTCGGTTCTAAAGTCGTTTCCCAATCCCATTTAGTCATTTTCCATCCCATTAAGTCGTTTTCCAGATCCATTAAGTCACCCTGGTTTCGTCAGGTAGAACCGAAACTGCTAGAACCTATAACCATATTAAGCTATATGATTGAACCGGGAACTGTTCCGTAAAATGTAAGATAGGCCCTGTCCGATGAATGTAATGATTAGGTTTGATCCGAACTATCCTCTATTTCATCTTTGAGACTACACAGATAGAAACAACAACTATTAGTTTCTAACTATAAGTTTGACAAATAACATAAATTATAATTATTGTGTTATTATAAATAAAAGAATTGCATTAATTCCTTGGTAATCAAAAGTTAACCGAAAAGGCGATTATAAATAGTGTAGTCATCGCCTTGAATACAATTCGACTGTTGACAAGAGTGTGAACAACAACAGTAAAAGAGGAAAAATCAAAAAGCAGTCCACTTGAAAACAGTGTGGGGTTTGAGAGAGAGAAACCAAGGGAGAAAAAAACACACAGGTATCACATTTCTTTATGCAATTCTCGATGTTTTTGCAGTATTTCTATATATAAATTAATCTCCTTGTTTTATTGAGATTTGCGTTCTTCTTCAGTCCCTTTTAATTTATGCCTTTTTCCTTCTTTCTCTTTACCCAAGTGGGTACTCGAAATTAAGGCCTTATTTTCACTCTTATTGCTCTGTAAATTTCTCACTAGTTGTCGCCTTCTTCTTATCGAAAATCTTGGCCATAGATTCCTGATCCCTTATCTGACTACACGATTAGGAGAAAAGGGTTTTTAATTTCTCTTAGGGTTTTGATTTCTTCTATATATATCGTCTATCTCATCTTGGTTTCACTCTTTTTTTGCTCTTCTAGACTGCAAAAATCTCTCTAAAGGGGTTTACAGCGAGAGAGAAGAACTGGTTCTAGAGCGAGAGTGTGAGAGGGAGAGAGAGAAAGGAGAAGAAGAGCTGGGTTTTATGTCGGCAGGTTCATTGAATCTGATTGGGGCTCCATTGAAGCTCTGTATTTCTTTTGCGTTGTTCATCTGTTCTTATCTCTGCTGTTTCACTCAGCAGAGTCTTCTTCTCTGTGTTCCGACTGTTTCGATGCGTTTGAGGCCAAAAAGGTATGAAAATCGAAAAACCCTTTTGTTAAATCTGTTTATTTTGTGTGTTTGTTGATGGATCTTTAATGGGTGTTCTTGATTTTTTGCAGGACTTGTTCTGGAGTCGAGTGTTTCGGTGGTTTTCACATAAATAGGTTGTTTGATCTTTTCTTGTTCTTGAGAGGGCCTTTGACATAAACCCTAAATCAATTTTGGTTTATTTTCCGGCTTTTATTTTTGTTTTGAAAGTTTTGTTTAGCTTTGGGCATGTTTTGAGGCTGCAAAAGCCGCCGGAGTTTTGAAAACGATAACACAACCGCCGATGAATCAAGAGAAGAAGTCGAGAAACAGAGCGAAGATAATGGAACCAAACAAACTCATGCGGAAGATCCGGGTCATCTGTTACGACCCGGATTTGACTGATTCATCAGATGACGATGAACCCAACAAAAAACCCTTTGGGTCAAAGCGGATTGTCCGAGAAATAAAGATTCCGGTCGGCGACGGCGGCGTTTCCGGTGGCTGTACGCCGGTGATGACAGCGACTAAAGAACAGGAGACTGAAAGTTCATGTCAAGATAGCAACAACGGCGAAAAAAGTTGCGGGAAGAGAAAAAGAGTTTCGACAAAAACCCCCGGTCAACCTCGGCCGCCTTCCGCCTCCAAATACAGAGGCGTCCGGCAGCGGAAATGGGGAAAATGGGCGGCGGAAATTCGTGACCCGTTTAAGCAACGACGGGTATGGCTTGGAACTTATGATACTGCCGAAGAAGCGTCCAGAGCTTACGAAGTCAAAAAGCTGGAGTTTGAAGCCATGGCGGAAGCTTCAAAGGGTGGTTCCAACATCGTCAAAAGCACCACCACCACCACCACTACCACCAAAGCTCCGTCGTCCGCCGTTTCTCAGCTTCCAAAACCAGCCATCTCCGAGGAATCAGTAGGTGTAATTTCTCACATTTCACCATCTTCACCGACTGAATCATCCTCCATTTCTAGAAAGATAATCTCTTCCGCCGGAGCTTCTGAAACCTGCAACGCGGAAAGCAAACTCGCAAACAAACCCGAGCCACCTCCGGCCGCCGTCGGATCTCCGGCGATGGAAGAAACCTTAACTCTAGCCCAAATCGGTGAAGGGTTAGACATGAAATTGGAGCTGGATTCCATTTTCTTCGACAGTTTTGCTTCACCACTTGACGGATTTGGTGATCTTGATGATTTCCAGCTTTGCGGATTTGAAGATAACGAATCTTGCGAATTACCAGATTGGGATTTTGACGAATTGAATCCTGAAGAACTTGCTTGGATGAACACATTGAGGGTCGATGAGCCATTGATGAACGAACAGCCGCTTAATATCGCATGCCTATAAATTTTGCAGCAATTAGAAGAGAGTTTTTCAAGGGTTTTAGAGAATAATCCTCTTGAAAAAAAATGGTTTTGTTTAATTTACATGTCTTTTTTTTTTTTTAAAATATTTTTTTATTATGTTTTTGTTGAAGAGTCCTTTGGGTTTTCTTGTGCTATTAGAGCCGTCCGAAGGGGTGTTTCTGAGTTGCTGCTACTGCAAGTGTTAAAAAGACAGTCTTTTATTATTTAATTTTGATCTGTTTTTATGGTAATTAATGGAGCTTTATGTTATTATGGGTGTTACAAGTTTTAATGCAGAGGGTACATGTCATCCCGCATTGATGATGGGTTAATGTTTGTATGTTTAAAGTGTCGTCCACTATGTGAAAAATCTGGTCAATGGTTTTATTTTAATTATTTTAACATAAAAGTATGCAGAAGAAACAAATATTAGGTAAGAGTCACCGTTAGACTTTTCATAGGGATGTACGCTTGATTGTCATAAAAAGGAGATGTTTTCATATCTTGATTTAGTAGAGTTTTGAAGATATGAATTGATTTGAGTTGTTCATATTATTGAGTTAATGTATATGTAGATGGTATTAAAAAACGTATACTAAGATTGTGCTATTCATTTTAGACATGAGGGTGTAGCACCCGTAGTTTGTCATGTACGGCTTGGGGAGTGGGTGTTAAAAAAAGGCTATTTGCTTTTCACGCCATATAAACACCATCCCTTTAGCATGACATGCAAAATGACATGGTAGTATAGATGAGAGAGAATATGTATGTGAGTGTATTTCTTTTGTCTTTATTTCTTTTTACCAAGTTTGACTCACTAGTAAAAATCTCATGCTATTTATGATGTGGCAACATGGCATCCTTCCCTCCTTCAAGTCTATCCTAGAGCCTCACCACCCCCACCATACGGTTCGAATTGCCGTCGGGACGGATTCTACCATTTGCAAAACTAAGCAAGGTTTAGGATATTCAATTTTAAAGGGTTTTCAATTTTAAAGCTTATTTTGTTAATTATATATGTATATATGCGTATTTCTTGAATTACAAAAACAAGTTGGAGTTTAGCATGGTGGTAAAAGGATGGTTTATAAAACTAAAGGTCTCCGCTCGAAACTTTTTGCTAACTTAAAGGAACTCAATCTTTTATTTTGCTTAGAGCTTCCAAATTGATTGAACCGTTCCTCACCGTCGTCAAGCCAAGTGCAGAACATTTTGACCTCTCTCTCTCCAAGTGCAGCACATTTTGGCCTCTCTCTCTCTCTCAATTTTTTATTTATATTAACATACTACCTTTTATTATATATTTCCACTTTTCTTCCTTTCCTATTTTATTTATTATTTATTTATTTATTTTGTAAATGTTCTTTGTGTTTTTAAGTTTTTTTATAAGTATACCATGTATTTCTTTTATTTCAATTAATAACTTTTTAGTTTTTATTTAAATTAGATTGTTAAAAAAATATTATGATATGTTATGGTTTCCATACCTAGTGTATAAAAGCCTTTTTAGTTTTAACATTGACCAAATCCACAATGAATCTCGCTGATAAATGTTAAATGAAAATCTTAAATCATAAGGACCAAATCAAAAGAAAATTGGAATCTGCAAACCATAGGGACGCTTTTTGCATGTTTGGTCAAGAACACCAACTAATACATTTTTCTTCATCTAGAGGGTCAGAGACTTGCTTAAGTGCAAGTTGAAGTTCAGGAGTTGCTCAACTCCAAGAACATGAAGTTCATTTTCCTTAGAAGTCCCCAAAACTCAGAATGGTTCTAGATCTAAGCATAAATGAGGATGAAACAAAGTCCAGAAGATTTATAATGCATAAATAAGGACGTGAAGGTGATTTTTTATGCCGAAAATGGAAGCTAATCACCAAGATGAGCACCTATTAGCTCCTTAAGCTTATCAATATCTCTAAACTCTTTAAACAATAAACATGGAGGCTAGGGTTTTGAAAGGAGGGATGGAGGATGAGATTCATTGAAACCCTAGGCCCAAAGGCGGAAAATTAGGGTTTTGTGCACATTGATGCGTCACGTCACGATCATTAAATGACAATCGCACCGTGGTGACATGGCAACACCAGGCCTCCACCTTGGCCGAATGAATTAGCAGTAATATCTGGCATAACGAGAAAACTCCTGATCTCAAAGCGAATTTTTGAAACCTCCCAATTCATAACGGTGTCCACCTTGTCTGGATCAACCAAAATCCCTCACTGATTGATAAAATGACTAAGGAACTGAACTTCCCACAACCAGAAATCACACTTCTTGAATTTAGCATACAACTTCTCACGCCTTAAGGTGTCCAATAGTTCCCTTAAATGTACCTCGTGATCCTTGTAGGTTTTGAATACACTATAATTTTATTGATGAATACTATTACTAATCTATCTAGCATGGGTCTGCATACTCTGTTCATCATATCCATAAATGTTACATGGGTGTTCATCAGGCCAAATGACATTACTACAAGCTCATAATTCCCATAATGAGTGTGAAATGCCATCTTGAGTACATCCTCTTATCTAACTCGTATCTGGTGATACCCAAAGAGTAGATCGATCTTTGAAAACTAAGACGCTCCCTGCAACTGATCAAATAAGTCGTCAAAATTGGGTAAAGGATAATTGTTCTTTATGATGACTTTGTTCAACTACCGATAATTAATGCACATATGGAGGGAGCCATCCTTATGAAAAAAAAAAGAACCGATGCCCCTCATGGAGAGCTACCGGGACGTATAAAACCCAAATACAATAACTCCTGCAACTGAGTGGATAAATCATGCATCTCAGGAGACGCCAACTGGTAAGGTACCCTAGCAAGTGGGACTGGGTCTGGAATAATATTAATCCGGAACTCGACTTGCTTCTTGGAAGGAACACCCATTAAATCATCACAAAACACCTATGGAAACTCCTTGGCTACGACGACGTCATCGATAGATAACTGCCATCGACCACACCTGCTATCCACAACATACACCAAATATCCGACGCATCCATGATAAAGGTACTCCCAAGCCTTAGCTGAGGAACATATAACCGAATTTCCCTTCCTCTTCTCTCTATAGTTAACCATTTCTCCTCCACTTATGGTTTGAAATCGAACTACTTTCTGTCTACAATCAATAAATGCATGATGACGATCTAACCAATCTATATCCATGATGACATTGATCTCCCCCATAGGAATCATAATGAGGTCAATCAAAAATCTCTCATCATAAATATCAAAAGAGCAACCTTGGAAAACCTCAGATGCACTAACCAGTCTATCATTAGAAATATCAACTAACATTGGCGAGTCAAGAACCCCTAAAGTAATGCTAAAATTCTTGCTAAAAGCAATAGAGGCTAAAGATTGGATCGCTCTAGAGTCGAAAAGAATAAGAACATGCATAGAATTCACAGAAAAAGTACCTGATAATACATAAATAAGCATACCATTGCAATAAATTCATGTAGACTAGGAAATAACATATAACTCTCACGAAGTCTAGGGCAGCGAAAACCTTTGTGGCTGTAACCTTAAATGGCCTCGTGTCTTCGGGATTTTTATGCCCTTCTTCAGTGATCCTCAATTTGGCAGAAGCAGGAGCCACGAGCTGCTGACCAGTACTGCTCGTACACTCTTCCTTGTAGTGACCAAACTTATTGCATCTGAAGCACAACTTAGAAGAATCCCTGCAATCCTTGTTGATATGACCTAACTTTCCATACTTGTAGCACACAATATGATGAACCCTACACTCCCCAGGATGATTTCTTCAACACTTGCTAAACCTGGGTATAAACCTCTTACCATCCCCCTTGCCTCAAGTGATATTGAACTTCTTCTATGGCTTACTGGTCGCCTGAGTTGGTGTCAGCCTCTTTAGATTCAACTATCTCTCAAGTTCAATCTCATGAAGGCGAGCTACCTCAATTATCTTACGGATAGTCTTGCACCTTGCGGTGACGACACACAATCACAAATATCATCCTTCAACATAGAACTATACTTGGACATCTTGATGGGTTTTGTAGCTAAACACTCTGGAAAAAACAATGACTTCTCGTAAAATAATGCCGTAATCTCATTTAAAGTCTCTATATTGTGTCGCAAAGCAATAAACTCCTCAGTAAGTTTCTGGATCTCCATAGTTGGAATAAACTTCTCCTTGAATAGTTCCGAGAACTCAGGCCATGCCATAGTCACCACCTCTACAGGTGAACGGGTGTTACCGATAAGTTTCCACCAATCCATGAACACATCTCTCAGAACGCTCTTAGAATAACGAACGTTTGCCTCCTTCAGGCAATATTGTGTCGCAAAGCAATAAACTCCTCAGTAAGTTTCTGGATCTCCATAGTTGGAATAAACTTCTCCTTGAATAGTTCCGAGAACTCAGGCCATGCCATAGTCACCACCTCTACAGGTGAACGGGTGTTACCGATAAGTTTCCACCAATCCATGAACACATCTCTCAGAACGCTCTTAGAATAACGAACGTTTGCCTCCTTCAGGCAATAACTGGGATGAAAAGCATCCTCAATCTCCACAATTCACCTCATACTAACAACATTATCCCTCTTCCCATTAAAAATGCGGTAGATGGCAAGAAAAGTGTAACGTCCTGATTGTTAACATAAGTTTTTTCATTTTTAGATATTCAATTAAATCAGAGTAGAGTTAAATTATGCAGAAAACATGATGTCAATGCGTGTGTACAGTCAAGCCTTGCCCTTCTCACGATCCGACGAAGTACCTGAAAACATTTGTACTCAACTGTTTAAGCACAAAGCTTAGTGAGTTTCCCAAAATACCATATACCACAATACATATACATGCATAGAAATAATGGCTCAAGACCTTTCGCCAATCCACTAACTAAATAGCGACATTTCGTCGATCCACCAATAATATGTGTATCTTAGAGTTTCGACGTGCTTTATATTTCGTCATCAACACGAGTCTCTGTGTGTTTAGACATATGACACATCTGCC